TTGGGTGGTGGGAGGGGCCCTCGGAACATGTTGGGTGGTGGGAGGGGCCCTCGGTACATGTTGGGTGGTGGGTGGGGCCCTCGGTACATGTTGGGTGGTGGGAGGGACCCTCGCCACATATTGGGTGGTGGGAGGGGCCCTCGGTACATGTTGGGTGATGGGAGGGGCCCTCGGTATATGTTGGGTGGTGGGAGGGGCCCTCGGTACATGTTGGGTGGTGGGAGGGGCCCTCGGTACATGTTGGGTGGTGGGAGGGGCCCTCGGTACATGTTGGGTGGTGGGAGGGACCCTCGCCACATATTGGGTGGTGGGAGGGGCCCTCGCCACATATTGGGTGGTGGGAGGGGCCCTCGCCACATACTGGGTGGTGGTAGGGGCCCTCACCACATATCGGGTGGTGGTAGGGGCCCTCGCCACATATTGGGTGGTGTGAGGGGCCCTCGCCACATATTGGGTGGTGGGAGGGGCCCTCGCCACATATTGGGTGGTGGGAGGGGCCCTCGCCACATACTGGGTGGTGGTAGGGGCCCTCACCACATATCGGGTGGTGGTAGGGGCCCTCGCCACATATTGGGTGGTGGTAGGGGCCCTCGCCACATATCGGGTGGTGGTAGGGGCCCTCGCCACATATTGGGTGGTGTGAGGGGCCCTCACCACATCATGATGAAGAGCTCACAATGAAGTTGACAGTTGCCAGGTCTAAAAAAAAATCAAGTTTCACAATCATAACTCGAGTGTTCAATTGAATGTTTTAAAAGTTCGTCTAAGAATCACACTGCAGGAACTAACGATCAAATTCAATCATCACTTCCGTAGACACCAAATACAAAGTTGTAATCATCTTGTTTACACAAGTTTGAATGTTGTATGCCAAATGCGGCAACCATCTCACAGAGCAAACAAACATCTGCCGAGGACTACTTAAAATGCATGATCATTGCTTATTGTCAATTACAATACAACTACCACCAACTCAAACTACCATCAACTACCACCAACTCAAACAACCCAAGTTCTGCTGGAGATCAGCGTGTTTAAACAAGGGAGCACCAATGTCAACACCGGGGCGCTGAAGCTGGTATGACATCAGCAAATGGAGTTAAACAAATGATGTAAACACTCGCCTCCGCAGCCTTTGAAGTGAGTCTAATATCTGTAAACAAACCTTTGAAGTTCAATACTTTAAGATATGGAAATACGATAATCTGAAGAGTTAACCGAGTCTTTGTAATGGATAGTTAAGAGAGCAAGAACTGGAGCTCCGACAAGACCTTGGTCAAGATAACTTGCGATTCAAGATCCCTCCTAACAAGCAGGCAAGGAATGATACGCTGCAAGGAGACGAGAACATCACAAGAAAACTCTGACCACTGAAGAAGTCATTAAACCTGTCCAAGAGACTCGACACACACTTGTTGAGAACCAACTCACTGAATCCCTTGAAGCACACATGTCAATTGTTCTTCACACTGCCAGACTGCCGCAGTACGGACCTCTGAAGGAATCTTGAGCAATTTCTAAGTTGCCAGTGGGAGATGTGACATGTTCCTCACCGTTCCTGGGCTGTCAGTGGGAGATGTGACATGTTCCTCACCGTTCCTGGGCTGTCAGTGGGAGATGTGTCATGTTCTTCACCGTTCCTGGGCTGTCAGTGGGAGATGTGTCATGTTCTTCACCGTTCCTGGGCTGTCAGTGGGAGATGTGACATGTTCTTCACCGTTCCTGGGCTGTCAGTGGGAGATGTGTCATGTTCTTCACCGTTCCTGGGCTGTCAGTGGGAGATGTGTCATGTTCTTCACCGTTCCTGGGCTGTCAGTGGGAGATGTGACATGTTCCTCACCGTTCCTGGGCTGTCAGTAGGAGATGTGTCATGTTCCTCACCGTTCCTGGGCTGTCAGTGGGAGATATGTCATGTTCCTCACCGTTCCTGGGCTGTCAGTGGGAGATGTGACATGTTCCTCACCGTTCCTGGGCTGCCAGTGGGAGATATGTCATGTTCCTCACCGTTCCTGGGCTGCCAGTGGGAGACGTGTCATGTTCCTCACCGTTCCTGGGCTGTCAGTGGGAGATATGTCATGTTCCTCACCGTTCCTGGGCTGCCAGTGGGAGATGAGTCATGTTCCTCACCGTTCCTGGGCTGCCAGTGGGAGATGAGTCATGTTCCTCACCGTTCCTGAGCTGCCAGTGGGAGATGTGTCATGTTCCTCACCGTTCCTGAGCTGCCAGTGGGAGATGTGTCATGTTCCTCACCGTTCCTGGGCTGCCAGTGGGAGATGGGTCATGTTCCTCACCGTTCCTGGGCTGCCAGTGGGAGATGGGTCATGTTCCTCACCGTTCCTGGGCTGCCAGTGGGAGATGGGTCATGTTCCTCACCGTTCCTGGGCTGCCAGTGGGAGATGTGTCATGTTCCTCACCGTTCCTGGGCTGCCAGTGGGAGATGGGTCATGTTCCTCACCGTTCCTGGGCTGCCAGTGGGAGATGGGTCATGTTCCTCACCGTTCCTGGGCTGCCAGTGGGAGATGGGTCATGTTCCTCACCGTTCCTGGGCTGCCAGTGGGAGACGGGTCATGTTCCTCACCGTTCCTGGGCTGCCAGTGGGAGACGGGTCATGTTCCTCACCGTTCCTGGGCTGCTGTTCAGTTACTAAGAGTATGTTCATCAGCTTGACCACCAGACCCTTGTGTTATCTACTGTATCACAACCATTTCCAAACCGGGCGCTGTCCAATCAGTCGCGAGGCCCCCCCCAACCTCGCGCGTGCGTGCGTGCGTGTGCGTGTGCGTATGCGCGCGCGCGCGCGCGTGTGTGTGTGTGTGTGTGTGTGTGTGTGTGTGTGTGTGTGTGTGTGTGTGTGTGTGTGTGTGTGTGTGTGTGTGTGTGCGCGCGCGCGCGCAGACGGTTCAACATTTGTTGGACTATTCCTTCAGTTTGCCCAGGTCGTCTTTTAGTCTCTTTATTTCCCTCTGTCTTTATTCTTTATCCATCTCATCTCATATCTCTCATCATCAGCAAACATTGAGAGCAATGAGTCTGTACCCTCTGAAAGATCGTTTACATGTATCAGAAACAGGATGGTTCCAAGTACACAACTCTGTGGGACACCACTGGTGACATCTCACCAGTCACAGCTCTCCCCCCTCACAGTAATTCGCTGTTTCCTGTTGCTTAGATACTCCCTGATCCACTGCAGCACCTTGCCTGTTATTCCTGCCTGTTTCTCCAACTTGTGTGCGAGCCTCTTATGGGCTACTGTGTTAAAGGCTTTCTAACATACCAAGAAAATGGACTGTTGTTTTGGGCTATTCGAACAACCCGTTCTCGCACTTCCTTACAGTCAATATTGACTTATTAAATACGTGCATATGTGACATACTAAACATACTAGTTTACCTTGAAAAGCTTCATATAAAACACCGACCTTACCTAACCTTCTTAGTATGTTAAGATAAGCATCTTATTGCTTCGTAATTACAATTATTACTTAACCTATACCTATAATAGGTTAATTAATAATTGTAATTACGAAGCAATAAGATGCTTATCTTAACATACTAAGTAGGTTAGGTAAGGTCGGTATTTTATATGAAGCTTTTCAAGGTAAACTAGTATGTTTAGTATGTCACATATGCACGTATTTAATAAGTCAATATTGACTATACGAAAGTGTGAGAACGGGTTGATTCGAAAGGGACAAAAAAAAACATTGTACACTATTGTATATAGTAGACACTACGGTCGTTATCTGTGCTAAGCAGGAGGATGGGTTGCGAAATATTATGTCAGTGAACGAAGCATTTAGCACTAAGATGACCAGACCTTTAAAGTAAGTCAACCCAGTATTAACGTAACCGACGTTCACATTATATGACAAAGATTTGTCAAGTCGAAAGTATTAATGACAAGATGACAGAAATGCATAATGCTCGGTGTGACTGGTGATAGTTTAAGGAAACACTCGCTTTGGTCTAAATATCTGATCGATTGACGGGGTATTAAGAAGCTTCTGACCCCATAACATCCAGGGGCCAGATTCACAAAGCAGTTACGCAAGTACTTACGAACGTGTATATCTTTCTTCGATCTTTGATGGCTTTGGTTACATTTATCAAACAGTTTACAAGCTTAAAAACTTGCCAATCAACTGTTGTTATTGTTATAAACAGCCTCCTGGTGCTTCAGAGTTCATTAACTGTTTAATAATTGTAAACAAAGCCGCCAAAGATAGAGAAAAGATGTACAGGTTCGTAAGTGTTTGCGTAAGTTCTTCGTTAATCTAGCCCCAGCGAGGAATAACGAGCGGCTGTAGCAGCTTCCCTCCGGGGTCTAAATCACATCACCAGAAAATAGCACACACGTTAACATAAAGATACACACAGTCAACTCTCCTCAGAGTCGTTAAATGATCTTCAAACCAAACTATGCCTCCAGTAAAGTTAATGTGTAGAGGGTGCCTGAGGAGCGGACACACTCTCCAGTCCTCCTCACCAGGGACAGTCACCAGGACCCGCAATACCTTCATGTATCGTCAAATGTCGACATAAATGATGAAGTTATGGTCAATTTACAAATATATAAATCTGCACAAATAACTACATGCCTACAGTCGTTTAACAAAAATAGGTCGATGGTATTTCTATGGTACACCAAGACTAGAGCTGGATGGTATTGTCACATCTGTGAGGAAAACATTGTCGACTCAAACAAAACAACCATATTCAAAATTTACATTTGAATTCACTTGCAAAACTAACATAAAATACATAGATGCATAACCACCTTGTTGAACTTAGCGGCAGTAAGCTTGCGCATGCGCGCTGAAGCAACACGGTGAGAATTATCACAGCAACAACAACAACACCAACACACATCTTATGGGGACAAGAGAGCAGCATCCGGCTCATTGTTTGCAAGTGTCAACAGATGCCACCTATGTTCTCGGACACTTGTAGGGATTTACCCAGAGAAATACAAGTCCTGGAAGGGAAGATGAGCAAACTGACCTGTTTCCAGAGAAAGGGCGAGTGTTGGCTGTTGGTGGTGATGACGCAGACGAGGTGGGTGACAGAGAGGAGGATGCCTCCGGCCGTGGCCTCAGGCACTCTCAGCGGCAGCAACGTGTACGTCATATAGATGAAGAAGAGCGTGGCCCACACTCCCGCAGAAGCCGTCGGAGGTTCGCTGCTGAGCGTCACCAAGATCTCCAGTCCGAAGAATGAGATGAGGATCAGGTAGGAGAAGACGATGAGGTAGACCTCGTTGAGTTTGATCCGCCACAGGAGGACTTCTAGCACCAGGTAGAGGAGAGCGAAGATGGTGAGAGTGACGACCTGGAAGATGAACTTGGCTATGCCCAGGATGTAGATGAGACACAGCATCACCAACACCACCACGATCATTAACCCCAGAAGGGAGATCATGTTCGACTGGTTCATCCGCAGGAAGTATCTCTGGTAGAGCACCTCCACGTGGATGTTCTTGAACTGGTGCGACTTGCACACGCGACTACACAGCGCACAAAAGTCCCACCACCTTCCAGAGTCTTGTAGGATGCTCTCCACTTCCTCCTGTGGTGCCTCTTCCTCCGTAGGGCTTCTGGAGGATGAGGTGCCCACCAGACCGGACTTGTGGTAGTGTTCAATCACCTCCCAGTTGGACTTTTTGGCTGTTTGCTCGCCAGTGGAGGGTCTGGAGCCCAGGGAGGTGTGCGTGGAGCCGTTGGCCTTGGAGTAGCGGAGGGAGGACGACCGTGGCTGGGCCGTCACCGCCTCCTGTAAAAGAAACATAATAGTTATTGTTCCACCCACTGAATGTTCTCACACTATTATATTACCCACGCCAACACACACACACAAAGTTTCAAAGCTTTGAAAGCTTTCAAAGCGTTATATGACAAAGAGTGCTGGGAAGACGGGACACCACGAGCGTAGCTCTCATCCTGTAACTACACTTAGGTAATTACACTTAGGTAATTACACACACACACACACACAAGAGCTACCCGCGCCAACACACACACACACAAGAGCTACCCGCGCCAACACACACACACACAAGAGCTACCCGCGCCAACACACACACACACACAAGAGCTTACACACACACACACACACAAGAGCTACCCGCGCCAACACACACACACACACAAGAGCTACCCGCGCCAACACACACACACACAAGAGCTACCCGCGCCAACACACACGGCCAGGAACACGTACAAGTACTAACAGGCTGGTAAGCTTACACGTTGTGCCTCAAATTCAGGCCTCAAAACTCTTCCAAGTGTGAGTGAGTGAGTGAGTGAGTGAGTGAGTGAGTGAGTGAGTGAGTGAGTGAGTGAGTGAGTGAGTGAGTGAGTGAGTGAGTGAGTGAGTGAGTGGAGCGCCGCCGTGTATGAGGACCGCCACTGGTCCTCACCTCACACACTCTGATATTAAACATATTCATAAAGAAGTCATTGTTACTCTTGACATTAACAATTACTTCCTGACAACAATCATAATACAATACGACCAACACCACCACAACACCCACTAACCAAGTCCACCTGTATAATGTCTTACAGCGCCGGCGAGAAACAATGGGCAGAGTGTCTTTCACCCTATGCCCCTGTTACCTAGCAGTAAAATAGGTACCTGGGTGTTAGTCAGCTGTCACGGGCTGCTTCCTGGGGATGGAGGCCTGGTCGAGGACCGGGCCGCGGGGACACTAAAGCCCCGAAATCATCTCAAGATAACTTGTCAAGATAACTCCTACCTACACCCTTACACCACCACCTGTCTTACACAATCTCCTCAACACCTGCCTACACCCTTACACCACCACCTGTCTTACACAATCTCCTCAACACCTACCTACACCCTTACACCACCACCTGTCTTACACAATCTCCTCAACACCTGCCCACACCCTTACACCACCACCTGTCTTACACAATCTCCTCAACACCTGCCCACACCCTTACACCACCACCTGTCTTACACAATCTCCTCAACACCTGCCTACACCCTTACAACACCACCTGTCTTACACAATCTCCTCAACACCTGCCCACACCCTTACACCACCACCTGCACCAGCTAACAAATCTTACACAAAAACGCAAATCACCGTCACTATTTCCTAATGGTCTCCTTGCGAGATATATATATTTAGCTAAATGTTTACTACTCTATAATCTTTACCGGGACGCGAACCCGGGTCCAGCATCAAGCCAGGCGAGTAAGTACTAATAGTCTGAGCTGCCACAGCTACAAATTAGTAGATATAATATTTTTTTACAGAGTTGTTGAGCATAACATGGTAATTTTAGAGACCATTCGAGTTAATTGTATGAAATGTGTAATCTGTAAAATGTACGACACGATATAATAACCGCAATTCTGACCCTTATATACCGTGACAGAGAGGCGGTGGTTGTGTGATGAGTGTGGGGTCCTTGGCTTGACGCTGGGACCTGGAGTTTAACCCGGCCTTCCAACTAATGCTTCTCAGTTTGCCCATTTCGGTCCCCAACGTGCAAATTACAACGTATTATGAAAAGTAACAGCTAACAAAAACCCAAGTTTTCTATGCATGGATGGGTTAGGTGGGTAGGTTGGGTTGGTGCTCTTCTGGTTAGGTTAGCACTTTTTATTTTGTACGTTGTGACAAGTGAAGAGAACGGACTTGACGGTGAGGTGGGATCATCGGTTATATACTATTCATCACTCATGCCCGGGGCAGTATGTGGGATCCCGGGTTTGGGCTCCGGTTGCCAACCTCAGGACCACTAGAGGATTCAGCTGAATCCCAAGTTGACGGTGCTGGCTTGGCAGTTCCAAGTGAGCGGGTTCGAGTCCTTCTCAAGACTCCTACCGATTTTCTCATTATTCATCACAATTATCGCGTGGTTGTGCAGTCTGAACACATCATCCAAAATTAATTAATATAAAGGTTAAATGAACAAATCCACAAGGGCCGCGACGAGTATTCGAACCTGCGTCCGGGAGCATCCCAGACACTGCCTTAATCGACTGAGCTACGACAGGGTTAAAAAGAGTTGAAACCGAAGTTCTACTGAACTTACTGGATCCTGTAGCCTCTCCGAGACACAAACCAGGGTTTTACACAACTCCCCCCTGCACCCGAGCTATGTCAATAGGCCGTTCTCCCTCTTCGCCCTTACATCATCACCCACATTCATCACACTAACGTGATGCGTCAAATGAACGGCCCTTGTGGATTTGTTCATTTGATGCATCACGTTAGTGTGATCTCTGTGTGTAATATAAAGGTTGCTTCGTACATTGTATTAATTCATTACCATTTACAAAATACAACAACAATACCCGATGAAACAACAAAATACAACAAAGGCTCAATATTTTGGACCTGATTGATGTGAAAATTTATTTTCACGCAGCAAAATTTTATAAAGCAGAAGGGACGAAAATTTCCAGAGTGTAATTAACAGGAAATTTCTCAAGGTAATCCGAGGTAATACAAGTAGTTTCATCTTCTTCTTCCTCAAAATGTTTTTTCATGCTTAATGAGAAAGTTAAGCCTAGGTACCTATTTACTGTTAAGGTCTAAGGCCTAAGGTACTTATTTACTGTTAAGGTCTAAGACCTAAGGTACCTATTTACTGCTAGGTAAAAGGGGCATTCAGGGTGAAAGAAACTTTGCCCATTTGTTTCTGCCTGGTGTGGGAATCGAACCCGCGCCACAGAATTACGAGTCCTGCGCGCTATCCACCAGGCTACCAGGCCCGTGTGTGTGTGTGTTTACATAAGCCTAGTAATAATAAGGTGCCGCCCACCAAACACACACCGAAACTACGACGTTGGTACAACGTTCGAGCAAGTTTTAACACCACCTAACCAGTTATAACAACCAATATAGCAAGTTGTAACAACGTTCTAATACGTCATAAACACGTTAAGCCAAGATGTAACAACTTTATTTCAAGTTGTAACAAGCGGAAAATAGAGACAGTTTCGGTTTGTGTTTCCAGGCCGGGCTTATGCCAAACGGAAGTACCCAAAACGTCCAAGGAATCGAGCTAGGACCAGCAGACCTACTGATCCTAAGTCGATTCCTTTGACGTTTGATGTTCTTATATCTGATGCCTATATTCCCTAGCAGTAAATGTGTACCTGGGAGTTAGTAAACTGTTATGGGAAGCATGCTGGAAAATAATGAGTCATTAGCTAGAGGACCTCAGTAAACCTATATCCAGCTTTCAGATAAACCTTGACAGAAACACAGGCAGAGTGCGTTTTGCATTTCCATTTATTCTTATCTCTCGAATTCTTGTGATGTGGTTCAAGATGTGGTCACTTACAGATGAAAGTGACCACATCACTGATGTGATGTCTCTTACAGATGTTTGAAAAGTTGGCGAGTAATGTTTTTTTTGGCTAAGTTTTCTGCAGCGAGTGAAGCTTCCCGCTGGAGAACTGAGGCTCTCTCCGGAAACCTCTCTTAATTGGACTTAACTTTTTCCACACTGACGCCCTATAGGCGGCTTCGATAATGGCAGATATGTAATTTGTCCAGCTAATTACTTCAGCCGTTCTTTTGGTATTTTTTTAATTTTCGCTAATTATTATTATTTTTTGTTACGAATAAAATGTACAGGAAGTTTTCACACATTTTCCCGGCTGATAATATATTGTGTGGCTACTGTCAGTGCTGGCGCTGGTTACTGTCAGTGCTGGCGCTGGCTACTGTCAGTGCTGGCGCTGGTTACTGTCAGTGCTGGCGCTTGCTACTGTCAGTGCTGGCGCTGGTTACTGTCAGTGCTGGCGCTGGTTACTGTCAGTGCTGGCGCTGGTTACTGTCAGTGCTGGCGCTGGCTACTGTCAGTGCTGGCGCTGGTTACTGTCGGTGCTGGCGCTGGCTACTGTCAGTGCTGGCGCTGGTTACTGTCGGTGCTGGCGCTGGCTACTGTCGGTGCTGGCGCTGGTTACTGTCAGTGCTGGCGCTGGCTACTGTCAGTGCTGGCGCTGGTTACTGTCGGTGCTGGCGCTGGCTACTGTCAGTGCTGGCGCTGGTTACTGTCGGTGCTGGCGCTGGCTACTGTCAGTGCTGGCGCTGGCTACTGTCAGTGCTGGCGCTGGCTACTGTCGGTGCTGGCGCTGGCTACTGTCAGTGCTGGCGCTGGTTACTGTCAGTGCTGGCGCTGGCTACTGTCAGTGCTGGCGCTGGTTTACTGTCAGTGCTGGCGCTGGCTACTGTCAGTGCTGGCGCTGGCTACTGGCAGTGCTGGCGCTGGCTACTGTCGGTGCTGGCGCTGGCTACTGTCGGTGCTGGCGCTGGCTACTGTCGGTGCTGGCGCTGGTTACTGTCGGTGCTGGCGCTGGCTACTGTCAGTGCTGGCGCTGGCTACTGTCAGTGCTGGCGCTGGTTACTGTCGGTGCTGGCGCTGGCTACTGTCGGTGCTGGCGCTGGTTACTGTCAGTGCTGGCGCTGGCTACTGTCAGTGCTGGCGCTGGTTACTGTCGGTGCTGGCTCTGGCTACTGTCAGTGCTGGCGCTGGTACTGTCAGTGCTGGCGCTGGTTACTGTTGGTACTGGCGCTGGCTACTGTCAGTGCTGGCGCTGGTTACTGTCAGTGCTGGCGCTGGTTACTGTTGGTACTGGCGCTGGCTACTGTCAGTGCTGGCGCTGGTTACTGTCAGTGCTGGCGCTGGCTACTGTCAGTGCTGGCGCTGGCTACTGGCAGTGCTGGCGCTGGCTACTGTCAGTGCTGGCGCTGGTTACTGTCAGTGTTGGCGCTGGCTACTGTC